CCCAAACCATTCTAGGATTCTGTGATAACCGGGGGGTGGCAGCTGGGCCTTTGGCCGGCTCGCAGGTTTGGTTGCTAAGGTCGTGCCTTTTCCACCGGCCGCCTTGGTGTGACATTAAAGTAAACCAGTGACAGCCCTCAGCTCTGCTCCGTTACGCCAGTGGTGGGAAAGGTCCCAGGGAGCAGCAGACCCCGCAGGGCGACCCACAGTAACGAGGAGGGGAGGAGACGGGGCACGGGAACGCCGGGATGCTGCTCCAGGTGGTGTCAGGGCTTTGACATAAGGAAACATCCAGGGTTTCAAACACACAGCCAGGAGGACGCTTGCTTTAAAAAAGAAAAAAACCAAACCAACAAAACCCCGGGGTTGGGAAAAAAGCCCCAAAGCCTGGCACGCTGCCCACCTCTTCTCTCCGTTCAGGTTAATCTGGTTTCTTCTATTCTCCTTTTTCTGAGGACAGAAGGTTTGGTGGAGAGGAGGAGGAGGATCAGGTGTGGGCTTGGCTCTCCCCCAGACCTCTCCGGTTTCGTCTCACTATCCCAAGCCCTGGGAATTGGGAGCCATCATGTCCTAGGGACCATCCACGGGGACATGGGTACTCACAGGTCAAGCGGATGAGGATATCGCTCCTTTTCCTTCGAGGGCAGCACGAAGTAGGGATGGATGTACAGCATCCCGCTCTTGTCCCGGTAAAACTCACGGTGCTGCTGGCTCAGCTGCAGGCAAAGGCAAACGTTCACGCGTTTTGGCTGAGTTCAGCGCCCCAAGGCTCGTTTGCACCAGGATTTTGCGGGGGCTACTACAGCAAGGACGAGGGGCACCGGCCTCAAGTTGTGCCAGGGCAGGGTGAGGTTGGCCATGGGGAACAATTCCTTCCCCTTGGGGCTGTCAGGCACTGGAAGGGGCTGCCCAGGGAAGGGGTCGAGTCCCCAGCCCTGGGGGGATTTAACAGCCGGGCAGAGGCAGTGCTGAGGGCCAGGGTTTGGGGGTGGGATGGCAGGGGTAGGGGAACGCTTGGGCTGGGGGAGCTTCAAGGGCTTTGCCAACCCAAACCATTCCGTGATTCCATGATTCAAGCAGACAGCAATGGCCTCCCCCCTCTAACCGTGCAGAAACGCCGGTCACAGCCCTGCTCCTAAGCTGCCCCGCGTCTGTGCTCGCCCCATGAATTCGGCAGCTCGGTTTGCGGTATGCGTGGGGCATCGTAAGGCGCTCGCAAGATGCCGTGGCCGGGGCATGGGGCAAGCACGGTGCTCTTAGAATTCCAGAATGGTTTGGGTTGAGAAAGATCTTTAAGCTCCCCCAGCCCAACCGTTCCCCTACCCTGCCATCCCCCACGCAGCCCCCCGCAGCAGCAGCCCCAGCTGCCCGCCTGCATGAAGCATGGGTGATGCCTGGCATTAAACCCAGGCTTGTTTCCATCTTGCGAGCACCCGAAGGCTCAACCTGCCTGGATCCGAATTTGGCTGCAGAAGTGGCATCCCTGCTGCAGCCGGCGCATGGATTTCGGGCAGCGAGCTTCACCGTGGGCTGGCAGCAGGGGTGGGGTGGCCAGAGGCCACCGTCCCCCGTGTCCTCACCTGATAAAACCTGCTCAGCTCCTGGGATCGGCCACCATCCAGGTTGAAGCGGGTGTGCAGTGGGATGCAGGGGCGCGGGCCCTGGTCCTCTGCCTGGCCTGCCGTCACGGGCTGGGGACACCGAGGGCATCTCATGGTGGCCTTCCCACACCCGTTTCTGGAGGAAGATGCTGGTTTAGGGATGTGCCTTCAATACCTGCATGGAAAACGTGGTCAGCCAGGGCCGTGCTGGGGCTTTCCAGCAGGAGGGAGCTCCCTTCTCCTCCATGGCACTGCAAAATGCCCGGAGGAGCCAGCGCCTGCCTTTCTGGGTTTAAATAACCCCACTTTAGGAAAAATAACCCCACGTTTGATGTACAGGGTTGCATTTGAGGTTAAACTGCTGCTCAAGGGATCCTGGTGAGGGAGGCAACGGGGCCTTCATGACCCAAGCCACGTTCTGATTTCATTTTTCCTTTTAGGCACCCTCCCTTGAATTTTAGGGGTGCCCCAGGCAGGGAGCTGCTGCCGGCAGAGTGGGGTTCACCACACGCACCCCAGGAATCGCACACAGAATCATACAGAATGGCAAGGGTTGGAAGGGACCTCGGGAGCTCACCCAGTGCCACCCCCCTGCCCAAGCAGGCTCACCCAGAGCAGGGGGCACAGGACAGCGTCCAGGCGGGGGTTGAAGATCTCCAGAGAAGGAGACTCCACAGCCCCCCTGGGCAGCCTGGGCCAGGGCTCGGGCACCCTCACAGTCAACAAGTTCTTCCTCCCGTTCAACTGGAACCTCTTCAGCTTCAGGTTGTGCCCGTGGCCCCTTGCCCTGGTGCTGGGCGCCACTGGGAAGAGTCTGGCTGCGTCCTCGTGACCCCCACCCTTGAGATATTTGTAGGTGGTGATGAGATCCCCTCTCAGCCTTCTCTTCTCCAGGCTGAACAAGCCCAGCTCCCTCAGCCTTTCCTCCTAGGGGAGATGCTCCAGTCCCCCCATCAGCCTTGTTGCCCTCGTGAGT